GTCAGAGGGAGAAGCAGACTCCCTGCTGAGCAGGGAGCCCGACACGGGACTCGATCCCGGGACTCCAGGATCATGACCTGAGCTGAAGGCAGCCGCTTAACTGACCGAGCCACCCAGGCGCCCCCCAAAGCTGAGTTTAGAAGTGCCCCCCATATGCCACTCGTCTTCACCCTTAAAATATCAGTGTAAAGTGTTCCATATATCAGCCGAGCGACCCAGCATTGTCGTCTCAGTGGGGACTACATTATAAACACCTAGGTACGCTCCTACGACAGATTTGGCTGAAGAAAAGGCTGATATTCATAGAGGAAAAAAAAAAAAGGATAAATGATACAGTGAACATAATCTAAAAGACTGGCGGACTTGATCCCACAAGGATGAGTCAAGCGATGAAAAAAAAAAAACCTTGTGAAAAATATCCTATAAACATTTAGAGAAAAGTAGATATTTACTCATTTTAACACATAGACCAAAAAAAAATTTACCATATTTGCAGTGCACTGTCTTCCTGAAGTGTGAATTCCAACTAATCATCAAGTATTTTTAATAAAGGCTACATTAAAATATAAGCTTGCTCAAACACACGTGAACACTGGTTACTATAGGAAAGCCACCTAGACTATAGTAACCCATACTAGACTCACAGTAGGCAAACAAAACAGCTTTTCTTTTTTAGTGTGGATCTCTAGTCTTTTCACATGTATATTTCCCATATATGGTATTTTCTTGACAGTCCCTTATAAAATAAAATATTACAGCTTTGAATTTTTGGACTAAAAGCTGTCTTAAGTCCTATAAAGAAAAAAATTTTATGTGTTATTAAAATTTTTCTCCTTATTCCCTTTAATAAATACACAACTGAATAGTTTAACAGCATAACAAGTGTTCTTCCATGACACCTTCATTAACTTTTGAAATAGTACTTAGATTTTGATATGTTCTTATATTTAATATGTTTAATTGATATTTTCTTCTAAAATATAGCAAACATATTTAACATACATCAAAAACAGTTAAAAGAAACTTCCTTTCCTTTGGATATAAGACCTTTATAAAAAAGGAACAACTTTTTGAAAAACAGAATTTACAAATTATTAAAAATGGGCTGCATATACAGGCCCTACAGGCAGTTACTCAGAAGATACTGGTTTTCGTTGTTTTCGGATTTACATAATGTGACAGAACAGTCTCTAATAATATGTCAAACCAGAAAACAAATGCAACTGCTAGCTAGCTTTAGAGATACTATAGACAGATATATAAGAAAATAGAGTCCAGCAAAACTTACAAACTTAGTCACTTCTTACTCCCCAGATATTCGGAACATATCTAAAAATTTTCAACAGATATTGTACGATCTTAGAGAACTCTTAAGATCGTACAATATTATGGAATAGTCAAATTGAGTTATTAAAACCAAAGCAGCTGTTTCTTGATGTCTTCAGCCTTTTAACCTAACACCCAAATAGTTTAACTCTATCAGTTAACATCTGATCCAAGAGTTGACTTTTTAAAATGCCAGTACTGTTAAACCTTTCAATAATACTTAAAAATACACGTAGACTAATATATTACTGAGAAGTTTATCTCATTTCTTTAAATATGGGCGATGGGCTGACTTGTAGAACAGTGGGTAAGCATAGAGATGAATTAGCAATTTCCTTGTTTCTTTTCAAGTATTTACAGCAAATAATGCAACTGAAAAAACAATTTTTGCCGGGAAAAACTGGGTGGATGATTCTCATTTGTAGGTTACAATGAAAAAGGACTCAAATTTCTTAATGAAGGGGAAATTGCACTGTTTTGGGTCAACAAATATCTGCAGGGTTGCAGTTTTATAGGCAACTGAAAAATCTGAAAGGTAATAAAAAAGTAAAAGTAATGTCTCTTGGTGTAGAAGATTTAGGACATACTTTTTTTTTCCTCATTAAACTTTTGTTTTAATGGGTCTCAAAATTCTGTGACAGATTTTTGGTCAAGTTGTTTCCATTAAAAAGTACTGATTTTAAAAACTAATAACTTAAAACTGCCACACACACACACAAAAAAACATGGTCCACAAAACATTCTCCTTTCCTTCTTAAGGTTTTATGATGCATTGTTATCATTAACCAGTCTTTTACCCATAAACTTAAATGGCTAATTGACACAAACAGTTCTGAGACCGTTCTTCCACCACTGATTAAGACTGGGGTGGCAGGTATTGGGGATAATATTCATTTAGCCTTCTGAGCTTTCTGGGCAGACTTGGTGACCTTGCCAGCTCCAGCTGCCTTCTTGTTAGGACATACTTTTTTTTTTTTTTTTTAAAGATTTTATTTATATTTGACAGAGAGCGAGAGAAGAACACAAGCAGGGGGAGTGTCAGAGGGAGAAGCAGACTCCCTGCCGAGCAGGGAGCCCGACGCGGGACTCGATCCCGGGACTCCAGGATCATGACCTGAGCCGAAGGCAGTCCCTTAACCAACTGAGCCACCCAGGCGCCCAGGACATACTTTTACAAGTAAGTTTCATAACAGCTAATTTTTCATTAAATCTAAAGAGTCTGTAACACACATATGTATCTTATTTCAAAAGAGGCAGTGACTCAGAGATGCTTAGATTCAACTTCCGGTTCAATCAAAGAAAGTCCAAATGTTTGGAATTAAATGACCCACTACTCGCCAAAAATCCACAAAATATTCACACCGGACAGACCAAGATTAACTCTCCTATAAAAAGAAAAAAAAAAGGTTTTAGTGGAATTGACTGCCAAGCATTTAAGGTCTTTTTTCAAATAATGAAAACAAGAGTCTTGACAAGGAATACATTATTTCATCAATGACATTTAATGCTATTCTGTAATGAGTTATGTTACATATGGTTTATCAGGTGAACCCTAGTAATAGTAACTGCTTTCTTACCTGTGCTTAAAACCCAAATTTAGAACAAATGGATTTATGGGGTGTGGAAAATTAATTTTTTGGTAGACCTCAATAACTATTACACCAGATAGAGTTAACCAAATAATTTTAGCAAGTATCAATTAAAATTTTAAAATAGAGGGTATAGGGATGCTAGGCCTCTTAGAGAATGTTACCTATTTACCTATTCAACTTGAATTAAGGATTTACCAATTATTACTGATGCTTTAGTGAATCTGTATATGGGGACTATTGATATAGCCTAAACTAAACCCTACTGTATATATAACAGAAAGAAAAATCTACTTCTACTCCACAGAGTACTACACCATATTCAAAGTACAAAGGGAAGAGAGGGCTATAAATAAGCTAAATTACTCATCTAACAAAATAAGAAATCAACCTCCAATGTCTCAAACTGAAGAATCAAGAGAGAGCTACATGCCTCTATTATGTGGAACCATGAGAGTAGTATTAGAAGAAAAGACTAAATCAGTTTCAAGTGGTTGCCTTTAGCGAGCCTGGGAACACAGGGAACTGCTCATTTCTGTCATGAACTTACAGCACTACAGAACTTTTAAAATTATGAGTAGTTGTTAATTTTGATAAAAAAATTAAAAATATATACATATTACAAAAATGCCCTTCAGAAAAGGTAATTTCTATATTAACTGGTTTTTCCCATTTCTTCAAGGAACTTCTTCACCAAAACTACAAATGATAGGGGCACCTGGCTGGCTCAGTTGGTGGAGCGTGTGACTCTTGGATCTTGGGGTTCTGAGTTTGAGCCCCATGTTGGGTGCAGAGATTGCTTAAAAAAATAAAATCTTAAAAAAAAACCCTATAAATGATAAATCTCAATTTGATAGAAATGTTTTAATTTTGGCTTGTTCGTATATAAGGCTAAGCATCTTTTCATGTTTATTAGCCATTTACACAACATTTTTCTGTGAAAGTCTTTCAGTCTATGACCATTTTCTGTTTTTCTTATGAATTTATTTTTTAATTTATTATTTTTAAAAATATTTTATGTATTCATTTGAGACAGAGAGATAGGGAGAGAGAGCACAAGCAGGGGGAGCAGCAGAGGGATGGGGGAAGCAGGCTCCCCATTGAGCAGGGAGCCCGATGTGGGGCTCAATCCCAGGACCCAGAGATCACGACCTGAGCCGAAGGCAGACACTCAACCATCTGAGCCACCCAGGCACCCCTCTAATGAATTTATATATGCTCTTTATATATGATGGATATTAGCTTGGATTTGCTATATGTGTTCCAACCATAATATTTTGTCTCAGTTTGTCATTTAGCTTTAAGCTTTATTTATGGTTTATTTGCTGAACAGAACCCTTAAATTACTGTGCAGTCAATTCTGTCTAGATTTTTTTTTCCCTTTTGGAAGTAAAACATTCATCTCATTCCAGTAACTACACAAATATCTGGCACTGAATTGATAATGTATTTGGATCAATCTGCTGCTTTATGGGCATGATTCCAAATGGACTATACTTGAGCTACTTGCTTATTTCCTTTAAGTTAGAGGATAGTTTTTAACCATTTGTTTTAGAATGTATTAAAAAGATTAATCAATCATATTTAAAAAGTTAATTTCAAAGCTTCTTTTCCCTTGGTTAAGAAAAAAATCTCAAATAAATAAAACATGTATTAGTTTTAGTCTAAAATGTTTCTTTCCCACATGTAAGTTGCTTATTAAGAGAAGATAAGCACTTGAAAAATTTTATCAGTTTTTGGCTTCTGAGTAAGTTATTAATCCCACTAAGTACTTTTTTTTTTTTTTAAGATTTATTGATTTATTTGAGAGAGGGAGAAAGAGAGCGAGCAGGGGGAGGGGCAGAGGGAATCTTCAAGCAGACTCCCCGTGGAGCATGGAGCCTGATGCAAAATGGGGCTTGATACCACATCCATGAGACCATGAACTGAGCAGAAATCAAGAGTCGGATGCTTAACCGACTGAGCCACCCAGGCGCCCTCCTTAATAAGTACTTTTATTTTATGTTAAGTAAGCTCTACGCCCAACGTGGGGTGTGAACTCACGACCCTGAGATCAAGAGTCAGATACTTGGGATGCCTGGATGGCTCAGGTGGTTAAGCGCCTGCCTTCGGCTCAGGTCATGATCCCAGGGTCCTGGGATTGAGTCCTGCATCGGGCTCTCTGCTCAGCGGGGAGCCTGCTTCTCCCTCTGCCTGCCACTTCCCCCTGCTTGTGCTCTCTGACAAGTAAATAAATGAAATCTATTAAAAAAAAAAAAGAGAGAGTCGCATGCTAATGACTGAGCCAGCCTGGCGCCCCCATAATTTTAAATTTTCTAACAGACACCTTAAAAATTTTATAAAAAGTAAAAAGAAACAGGTGAAATTAATTTTAGTAATATATTTCATTTATCCCAATATATCCAACGTATTAATTCAACATGTAGTCAATGTACAAAGTTATTAAAGAGATCTTTTACTTTTTTCTTGGTCTTCAAATTCTAGTCTATATATTTTATGCTTACAACACATCTCAATTCAGATTAGTCATGTTTCAAATGCTCAATGCCACAGGTGGCTGGTGGCTGCTCTATTAGACAGTGCAGTTCTAGAACATGTATAAAACAGGACGCCTAAACAAAAGTGAAAAGAGGCATGCATATCAAAACTGGAGTGGACCCTAGATGTTTTCCACTCCACGTCTTTCCCTTCACATTTTTCTTTTTTTTTTTTGAAAGATTTTATTTATTTATTTGACAGAGTGAGACACAGCAAGAGAGGGAACACAAGCAGGGGGAGTGGGAGAGGAAGAAGCAGGCTTCCTGCCAAGCAGGGAGCCCGATGCGGGGCTCGATCCCAGGACACTGGGATCATGACCGGAGCCGAAGGCAGACGCTTAACGACTGAGCCACCCAGGCGCCCCTCCGTTCACATTTTCTTAACCTCAGGTTTTTAGACTCTCAGACCTTGTATTATCAGATTTCCCCAGCTTTACCTGCAGTCCCGTTCCTTCAAAACATTATTTGATAACACTAAAATTCTGAATCACCAAAAGGACCATATAATTCTGAATTTATTGTTAATAGCATGTGAGCTTCATTACTACATATTTAGAATAACAAAGTAAACAATTTCAACTGACCATTTTCCCATCCCAGTTAACAATAATATGGAATGGGTGCTGACTCAGTCTTTCTGGAAATATAAAACATTTTGCAGAAGGCTTTGTGTCTGATATGGGATGGCTTTTGTTTTGTTTTTAAATTTTAAAGTGGCAAGAGCCTGATAATAGATCTCAGAGTTGCTCCTCTGAGGGACACAACTGTAAAGCCAATGATGTGGTCCAATGAAATGGAGGTTGGTGAGGAATGAAGGGACTCGCCCAAGAGAGCAGAACTGGTTAGTGACAGGGCTGGGCTTACACCAGAAGCCCAATCTCTTGTTCAGTCCACAATCCTTTCAGTATATGATGCTGCCTTCTGCAGAATCTTAACAAAGGAAGAGAAACAGTAAATAAAGTACTTGTGTTTTTAAAGCATCAATACTTACCCAAGCATTCCTGACTCTTTAGTCTTTATGATGTAGAGGAACATTAACAATGTATGAAACATATTATTTCGGCCCTGGAACAAAACGACAGCAAGATTTAAACCAAGCCAAACAAAAAATTATGTGAACCAAACAAAAAGATAAACGCAGATCCTACCAGTTTACATTCTACTAACTCAGAATTCCGTGTAATTCAGACTTTCATTTGCATGGATTTGGACAGAAACTTCAATGGTCCAAAATATTAACACTTACAAAGTTGAAATGTTAAACTTGAAAAAAGGAAATTAATATTAATTAATAATAGGAATAATAGGAATTTGATGGAGAACACAATTTATGATTATAGTCAATGTAAAATTTCTTAGTAAAGAAGCTGGTAACAACAGCAAGTGCAAAGATCATCAGCAGAAGTGATGTTTGCAGTCAAGAGTAAAATACCTGAATAGAAATGTAAACTGGTACAATAATCTTTTGTAGATTTTATAATGTATTTTAAAAGCCTTGAAAATATTCTGTAACCTAGAATTCCACTTTTGGACTTTAAGCTAACAAAATTATCCAAAATGCAGATAGCTATATCCATAAAGATGAATACTCAGCAGTGTTTATGATAATGAAGAATTAGAACATCCAAAGTGTCCAACGATAGGGGAATGATTGAATAAACTATGTTATAATCTTATGATAAACTTTTTTTTTTTTTTTAAAGATTTTATTTATTTGAGAGAGAGAGAGCACGAGAGGGAAGAGAGTCAGAGGGAGAAGCAGACTCCCCGCTGAATAGGGAGCCCGATGCGGGACTCGATCCCGGGACTCCAGGATCATGACCCGAGCCGAAGGCAGTCGCCTAACCAACTGAGCCACCCAGGCGCCCATGATAAACTTTTTTACAGCCATTAAAAAGTGTTTCTATGGGGCACCTGAGTGGCTCAGTCGTTAAGCGTCTGCCTTCGCCTCAGGGATCAAGTCCCACATCGGGCTCCCTGCTCCACGGGAAGCCTGCTTCTCCCTCTCCCACTCCCCCTGCTTGTGTTACTGCTCTCGCTCTCTCTCTCTGTCAAATAAATAAAATCTTTAAAAAAAAAAAAAAAAGTGTTTCTATGGAAGCTTCTTAAAAAAAATTTTTTTTTTTAGATTTTATTTATTTGAGAGAGAGAGACAGAGATAGTGAGACAGAGCACAAGTGGGGAGGAGAGGGAGAAGCAGGCTCCCCGCAGAGCAAGGAACCCGATGCGGGACTCGATCCCAGGACCCCGGGATTATGACCTGAGCCGAAGGCAGACACCTAAGGAACTGAGCCACCCAGGCACCCTCTATGGAAGCTTCTTAACAGACGGAAAATTATGGTTTTTTAAGGTAATTAAATTAAGAAGTTAATTTTTTAAAAGGAAATAATATTACATAAATACGATTTCAACCCATAAAATAGCACAGAGAAAGACCAAAACGAAATTTACCAAAGGCAATACACCAAAAATGTTAACAATAGCTGCCTTTAAGTAATGGAATAATGAATGATCTTTCTTCTTTTTCTTTATACTTTCCCTAATTAAGCATATATTACTTTTATAGTTAAAAAAAGGGCATATTCAAGAAATGCATTTTCCCTAATTTAAAAAGTTTACCTATTCCCTAAACAAGAGACTCTAAAAAATATTATCAAAGCAAGTCATCCGTGACAGTCTGTAATAGCAATTTCTACACTTAGAAGTACCTTTGGAAGATTGTAGACATGACGCTGGTAGATTAGCTCATAATGGGGAGGGTTGATAGCACTCTGATAAATGCAAAAAACATTCTCATTTGTCACATCTGTAAAGAAAATATGCTACATTAACAAAACAAGCCAACCTCTCTATGTGTCTCATGTGAAAATCTCCACGCATTCTTTTAGGAAGTTTATACCTGGTTTATTCGGTGTCTGAACAAAGTGCTGAGAAGTAAATGTTTTTCCGTCAGGGTACTTAGGATGTGGAGGTAATCTGGAATCGAGGTAGGTGCAAAATACATGCATGATGATCTGAAGATGAGGAAACAATTTTTCAAAATCAGCATGAAAATCTATCATGGCTTTAAGCCTTTGTTTATAATGACTCCAATTTTTAAATTCTTCCCTAAAGAGAGAACTAGCAAAAAAGCTTTCAAGTGGTTATATTTATAAAATGAAAAGAGAAAAGCAACACATTCCCAGTTTTCTGTTAAGTGGATCATTCATACCCATATAGCTAACAACAAAAAAACAAGATAAAAATACACATATATTCTCAATTTGAGTATCAGCATTTAAAACTTCATTTTTACATATAACGGTCATTATTAAAATAAAGAACATGATCTTGAAAAACTCTTAAATGCTCAAAAACATTATACTCTTCGCTTTCATCAATCTTAATTCTAGGAATTTTTTTTTTTAAGAGAGCGTTAATGTGTGTGGGTGGGGAACAGAGGGAAAGGGAGAGAGAATTTTAAGCAGGCCCCACTCCCAGAGTCTTACGGCTGATCTCACAACCCTGAGGAGATCATCACCTGAGCCAAAATCAGGAGTCAGAGACTTAACCAACTGAGCCACCCAGGCTCCTCTAGGAATCATTCTTAAAGCCATAATCCCAAATACGAAAAAAATATGGATCACGATATTCCTTGCAATCTTATTTAAAACAGAAACTAAATAATTCTCAAACTTTTAGCTCCAATATAAGAAAACAGTTAATTGAGTGTGTAGTAATGAAAAAATACTTAAACGCTGCAAAAGTGAAAAAATAATACAAAATTTTACACGTGGGATGATTACAACTATGATAAAAACATTAAAAAATAGTGCAATCTAAGTAAAGGGAAAAAAAGAAAATACACCAAAATATTAACAGTGGTTAAGACGCTGGTAAAATTTTAAATTTTTATTTCTACCTTAGCTTCTAAATTCTTTTTAATACTTATTTTTATAATGGAAAAATAAAAGTACATAAATATAATAACATGGAAAAATGTTAAACCCAAAAAAAAAAAAAGTAGGGACTTACAGCAGAATCAGTGGGCAGGTCTGTATCCCACTTGCGTCCTTTGAAGTCTCCACCTCTATTCCATCGAAATGAACTCATACAGCCTCCCTGAGAAAGTTCTGGAGAAACAAAGATGAAATTTAAAAAGCCAAAAAAAAAGAAAAAGAAAAATGGCCAAAGGGCTACAATAAGGGAAGCATATCATCTTAAAAACCTGACGAAAATACCCAAACATAAAGAAATACAAGATATAAAAGATTAATTTACATATTACCATTGGGGATTCTTAAAAAAGTCAGTCATGTGGGGAAAAAAGGTGGAGCAGAACTGTTCCAGAGAAAGTGACCAAAGATAAAACAACATATGGTAATGTGTGAACCTACACCTATTCTGGTTAGAAAAAGGGCATGTAACATTCTTTGGACAATTGGAAAATTTGAATATGAACTGTGTATTAGATGATATTATAGAAATATCGCTAATTTTAAAGGTCTGTTAAGTGTATTGCGGTTATATAGGAGAATGTTATTTTTAGGAAATCACATGCTGAAAAGTAATGATGTCTGTAATGAATTTCAAATGGTAGAGCAAAAAAATAAAAGTGCATGTGCATATATGTAGAGAGAATCAATGACAGCGAAATGTTGGTTACCATTAATCTAGAAGGCCTATATAGTGTTCACTGTACTTTTTAAGCTTTTTTGTATATTTGATATAATAATACTTTATATGTATTTTGCATACACGTGTACACATATTTTTTGGATACAGAAATATCCTGCTATCAGGCAATCAGTGCCAAAAATTGCAACCTGAATTTACAGGAAATACGGAGGACAGAGAATCATGCAAAATTACACCCCATGGGGATGTATTCAGTAAAATCCATACCATGGGCAACTCTATAGGACAAACAATCCGTTTTTTCAACAAATAAGTTGCAGAAGAAAAAAAAAAGGATGGACAGGAAACCTATAGCTTAAAAGGAACTTGTAAGTTTTTATTTATGGGCGCATGAGTGGCTCAGTTGGTTGGACGACTGCCTTCGGCTCAGGTCATGATCCTGGAGTTTCAGGATCAAGTCCCGCATCGGGCTCCCTGCTCAGCAGGGAGTCTTCTTCTCCCTCTGACCCTCCCCCCTCTCATGTGCTCTCTCTCTCTCTCTCTCTCTCAAAGAAATGAATAAAATCTTTAAAAAAAAAGATTTTATTTATTTATTTGACAGAGAGAGAGAGAGAGAGAGTACAAGCAGTGGGAGTGGCAGGCAGAGGGAGAGGGAGAAGCAGACTCCCTGCTGAGCAGGGAGCCCGATGTGGGACTCGATCCCAGGAATGTGGGATCATGACCTGAGCAGAAGGCAGATGCTTAACCAATTGAGCCACCCAGGTGCCCAGGAACTTAAAAGCTTTATCAACCAGTCATACCATGTGATTATAGTTGAATCCCAATTCAAATACCCAAGGGGTAATTACACATTTTATGAGGTGACTGGAAATTCATACATAAGGTATGTATCTCATGATATAAAGAAACTGTTAAAAAATATTAGGTGTGATAATTGTACTGAGGTTATGGTTTTAAAAGGCCTTATCTTTGAGATACCATACAGAGCTATCTATAATACAGAAAGGGAGGAGATAGATGGGGATATGGATAGGGTTTGGGATGCCCAGGGACTGAAGGCTGCAGGGACCAGGGGCTATGTACAAGAGGCTTTAGCATTCTGTGGTGTCTAGTTTTATGAATATCCAAATTCTCCTTATAATAAAAAGTTTCTTAAAAGTCACAATAAATGATTATTCCTGAACCCCAATCCAAACCTAGGGGAGAGAGGGGGGCACCATAACGCTTTCAAATTAAAATTTATGAGAAATCTGAAGAGTGAAATACTATTTCTAAAACTTGTTTTAGTGATGAGACCATTTTACAGTTTATCCAAATAAAAGCAGGGAAGCATAAAGAGAGAGTGTGGAATATCAGGGAGGTTAAATCTCCTGATTCTCATGCCAGTCTCCTCAGAAGATCACATTTCCCTCCAATAATCTGGACATAACAGAAATACAAAGAAGCAACATATTAAATATGAATTACAAGAATTGAGAGAAAGAAGGATCAGCATGTTGAAACTATGAAGAATGTCACAGTGGTATCCATTCTTCGTAGTTATGAAGAGTAGAAAATGAGTGAAATATTTACTTGAGCCCATGTAGCTCATATTTAAGTTTCCCTATACAGAATAAAATTAGTATTTTCAAGGCTAACTACATCATTTGGACAATTCCTTTATTTATTTGAGAGAGAGAGAGAGAGAGCACAAGCAGGGGGAGCGGCAGGCAGGGGCAGAGGGAGAAGCAGCCTCCCCACAGAGCAGGGAGCCTGACATTGGGACTCGATCCCAGGATACTGAGGATTATGACCTGAGCCAAAGGCAGATGCTTAACCAACTGAGCCACCCAGGTGTCCCGTCTTGACAATTCTTAAGCATATGAAATATAAAAACCAAAAGTTATTCAAGACTTAATTAAGCCATAATTAAATATGTATTTATAAAATATAAGATACTTAGTAATACTTAAATTTTTTTCCCTTGTTACTTTTTTTTTGAGAGAGAGAGAGAGAGTGTGTGTGTGTGAGTTGGAGGGAAGGGGCAACGGAAGAGGGAGAGAGAGAATCTAAGCAGGCTCCAAACTCAGTGCAGAGCCCAATGAGGAACTTGATCTCATCGACCACGAGATTTTGACCTGAACCAAACCAAGCGTCACCACTGAGCCACCCAGGCACCCCTCCTTCTTACTTTTATTTATAAAATCTGAAGGTAGTGAAATTTTTTCCTCTTCAAATTACTAGTTACCTTTGATCCTTTCAAACAAGTATTCCTGATTTGGTGTAAGGTCTAGATACTGCACAATTGTATTCAAAGTTGGAATGAGAGGAGCTTTGACCAGAGCAGCTTGTTTCAAGCTAGTAATACTAGCCTCTGTTAAAAATAAAACACACAGGACAGATTATTCTTCGTGTGGGTTCTAAAAGAACTTAAAATGCTCTTTCCTCAACAGATGTTGAAGGAATAAATGAAAGCAGTAATAGTTTAACAATTTGCATTATCTACTTTACTTACAATTTCTTTTTATCATTTCTGGCACAGTGGCCAGATTTATAAACACAGATACCACATGAACACACACTCCAAAAGCAGCAGCCAAATCCAGGCTGACAAATCTATAAACAGCTAATACACAAAATACTTTTGTGGGGTATGCATAAAAAGATACATGAGAGCTTTCAAAATCAGGTTGAGAAAAAGTTGCCTGTTATGCCACTGATAAGCAGAAACTTTTTATGACAGTAATTTCTCTTATCATGAAAGACAACTGTACAAAGAAATTAATAAAGCAACAGAAATTTTCAGAACGTCTAACCTTACCAGTAATACTCAATGTTGGGAAAAAGGCATTCTTCTATGTGACATGGTTGCTAGAGGATAAACTGGTATAAGCTTTTCAAAGGGTTATGTACGTTAAAAGCCTTAATGTATTTATTCCTACTGAACTAACTCCACTTCTAAGAAATTATCCCTAAGAAATAATTACAAATGTACACAAAGATTTAGATAAAAGGATATTTACTCACAGCATTACTAATAACAGTAAAGGGCAAAAACCCTACATTTTAGATAATAAGGATCAGTTAAATACAACATATTACACATACAAAAAAGAAATACAATCTAGCCACAAAAACAGTACTGGAGAATATTTAACAAAATAGAAAAACTGGGGGGTATAAGTAGGCAACAAAACAGTATGACCCCAATTTAATTAGATGTATACATATGTACCATATTCCCTCAACTCCTAAATACATACTTTTAAATTTTAATGTTCTTAAATTATGGTATAACATACAATTGAGAGAGAGAGATATATATACTAACATATATATTATATATGTATTAAAATATACACTGTATATACCAATATTATATATAAGTATATAACTATATATATATTAGTATATATACTATATATATACACACACACACATACACACACATATAGTTAGTATCATAACCAAAAATAATAACTGGTTGTGACTTAAAATTGATAGTGATTTATCTCTGGAAGCAGAATTTTGGGTAATATTTTTGTGTACTTCTGTCTCTACTTTCCAGCCTCTCTACAATGAACATAGTATATACTGCATTTGTAGTCACAAAGCAATGTCATCTTTTTAAAAAGCACATCACACTGATATTCCTTACTTATTTTGAAATCTAATTACTTAACACTAAATAAGTTATGGTATTTTAAGCAAATTGTATGGAACCTTAACAGTTTTATTTTTTTGCAGGTAAGAGAGTTGAAAATAGGTGATTTTAAATTAGCATTATCACACATTCTTTATGCTTTGTACAACTTGGAATTAATATTTGATAAGGAACTTGTATCTAGAATATATAAAGAACACCTCAATGATAAAAAAGACAAATGATCCAATTTAAAAATGGTAAAGGATCTGAAAAGATATTTCTCCTAAGAAGATATATGAACGGCCAATAAGCACACGAAAAGATGCTCAACATCAGTAGCCATCAGGAAAATGCAAATCAAAATCACAATGAGAAACTATTTCACACCCATTAGGACAACTATAATAAAAAGGACAGATAAGTATTGGTGAAGATGTGAGAAACTGAAACCCTCATACATTGTTTGTGGAAATGTAAAATGGTACAGCTGCTTTAGAAGAGTCTGCTGTTCCTCAAAGAGTTAAACATGGAGTTACCATATGGCTCAGCCACTGTACTCCTAGAGAAAATTAAAACATATGTCCACACAAACACCTGTATACAACTGTTCATAGCAGCATTATTCATAATAGCCGAAAAGTGAAAACAACCCAAATGTCAATCAACTGATAAATGGGTAAACAAAATGCAACAGATCAATATAATAGGATATTATCTGGCAATAAAAAGAAACCAAGTACTGATAAATGTTGTAACACAGATGAACCTTGAAAACATGTGAAGTGAAAGAAGTCAGTCACAAATGACAACAGATTGTATGATTCCATTTATGTGAAATATCCAGAATGGGTCTGCTTAAATTGGTAGTTGCCTTGGGCTGGGGAATGGGTGATGGGGGAAACGGGGTATGTGGGGTTTCTTTTCTGGGCAATGAGATACTCTAAAACTGACTGTGGTTGCACAACCCAAACCTCTGAACTGTAGACTTTAAATGGGTGAACTGTACGGTAAGTAAATTCTATTTCAATAAAACTTGTATTAGAAAATATACATATTAGAGACATTTAGTTTTGTCTTCACCTCAAGATAACAAAGTTGTTGTTAAATAGCCCAGTACAAAAAGAAAATTTCTGCTTGGAAGATTCACTGATGGTAAATCAAATGTTGGGCTCTATTTTCACATACCTCCTATCTGAAGCTCAGGACAGCCCATTCGTCTCATCTGTGTGCTGACAGACTCGATCTCTTGTACCAATGGCACTAATATTGTCTCATTGATCCACTAGGAAGAAACAAGGCAAAGATTTTACATACATAATTCTAAAGCATTTATTATTATTTCTTTTAAGGATTTTATTTATTTGACAGAGAGAGACACAGCGAGAGAGGGAACACAAGCAGGGGGGAGTGGGAAAGGGAGAAACAGGCTCCCCGCTGAGCAGTGAGCCCAATGTGGGACTCGATGCCAGGATGCTGGGATCATGACCTGAGCTGAAGGCAGACACTTAATGACTGAGCCACCCAGGCGCCCCTCAAATAATTATTTTCATGAAATGCTAAGAATATTTACTGTCTTCTACTTGTATAGTGTGGATATATATAGTATAGTGAAAGAGAATGAAGTAGCAGCTGCTGAAGTCCAGAGAGTTAAGTAATAAGCAAGCTAGTAGAGTGTAAGTCAACTAACTCATAGTCTTAAAGCATGTACGCCTGCTTACTGAAGAAAATATAAAAATTTCAGTTATATGTTGTTTATCTTTTTCTTTCTTTCTTTTCTTTTCCTTTCCTTTTAAGATTTATTTATTCATTTGACAGAGAGACAGCACAAGCGGAGGGGCAGTGGGAGAGAGAGAGAGAGAATCCCAAGCAGACTCCGTGCTGAGCATGGAGCCCCATGTGGGGCTTGATCTCATGACCCTGAGATCACGACCTGAGCTGAAACCAAGAGTCAGATGCTCAACAGACTACACCATGAGGCTACAGTGTGACTATTCATATGCTTTGTTGCAAATATTAATGTGGTTGATTATTGAGTGCTAACCAGACTCTGCTAGTAGTATTACAAAATATATGGTATATACATACTGCTTTTTTAAAAAAAAAAAAATCCAAAAAACGACATCATTTCACTTATTCATTCTTCCAACATGTATTCAATGCATTCCATTTGCCAGCCACTCTTGGGCTGCAACAAAACTGCCTAAGGGGTTCAGGACTATATTCCCTATGCTGTACCTTTTATCCCCATGACGGAATTTTTATGTTTAAAGAGCCATCCAGGCTTCTGGTTCAAGAAAATAGGCTGCTATTTTCATCACTCCCTCTCAATACCCTATAAAAATTATAGTAAAAAAATAAAAAGAGGAGCACAAGTGACTTCAACAGATTTCTAGAAGATGTAGAGTGGATGCATGAGTGCTGAAGGATGGGAGTGGAAGCAGTGGCAGCCTCCACAGAATCTACACGGAGCCCTGAGTGGAGGAGGGCCTGTGTGCCCCTCAGGACTTGGGACCTTCGAGTACTTCCCAGAGTGGGAAAGAGGCAGGGTTGAAACAAGGGAACTCACTCGCTCTGGATGAGTCGGTCTTCCCAACCTCCAGGTCAAAGATGAGAGGGTTCTTCTCTAAAACAATCGAAGAAACTGAAATATTCTGAAATAGCTTCTAGTATATATTATCTTCTCTCTCTAACTTAAAAGTTCTCTGAGGGTGAGGACCTCATTCATTTCCCTCAAACTTCTGGACATATAATAGGTTCTGACAGAAAAGCTCTCTGGGGGGAAAAAAAATGAAAAAAAAAAAACACGCCGAAATAAAATAAAATAAAATAAAATAGGGGTGCCTGAATGGCTCAGCTGGTTAAGCGTCTGCCTTTGGCTCAGGTCATGATCCCAGGGTCCTGGGATGGAGCCCCGCATCGGGCTTCCTGCTCAGCGGGGGGCCTGCTTCTCCCTCTCCCACTCCCCCTGCGTGTGGCTCTCTCTCAAATAAATAAATAAATAAATAAATAAATAAAATCTTAAATAAATAAATAAAATAAAATTGAGCTGCTGGGAAAGGAAAGAATATCTTAATAACTAAATATATTATCCCTTAATCCACTCAAAATAAACTGATTTACTAAATACGGAGAGAAAAAAATCTGATGAAAACAGACATCATAAGGTAAATGTCGTATTTATCCTTACATATGTGCCATCCATATTGTACTTTTCAATATTAATTCTGGTATTCTGATGAGTAATTAATACCTCTAAATTATATTCTAATAACATTCTGCATATTAAGAGGCACTAGTATTGTCCAAAGAGTAATGTCAGAACTTACATTTCTGAACTTAGCTGTCCATGAATCCATATGATCAAGAAGTTGTCTATTCATAGTCACTCTAGCCCAAACCTATTAAAAAATATTTCAAATGAACAATCAGTGAGGAAAAATCCTGCCAGAAATTAGTCATTTTCCTCCACTCTCAAAAATATGTGGAAAAAGATATCTGAAAAACATCACAAACACTGACATTGATCTAATTAATATACGATGATTTTCTTACTTCCCACTTGGTTGCTATTCATGCACAGATACATCTTTAAAATTCCTTATGTTGGTATGTTTAAAGAATTCTTGCTTTTATGAACAAAATAAAAATCTTTTTTTTTTTTGAACAAAATACAAATCTTGTATTTGGTATGAAACTGATGAAGTTACAGCTGAATGTTCTAATCCAAGTGTATTTTATATTTTTTTAAAGATTTATTTATTTGAGAGAGAGAGACAGACAGCAGGGGGAGGGGCATAGGGAGAGGGGACAGAGAGAGAGAAGCAGACTTCCCACTGAGTGCGGAGCCCGATGCGGGGCTCGATCACAGGACCCTGAGATCATGACCTGAGCCAAAATCATGGGTGGGTTGGAGACTTAACTGACTGAGCCACCCAGGCACCCCAAATCCAAGTGTATTTTAAAAGCAAGAGTCTTATATATCAAGTACAAATAGATACTTGAGATACCTTTTTATAAATGAATGCAGAAAAATGTTTTAGGCAGGATGGTAATGTCAACTATGTGTTATAAAGAATAAAACATACAATATAATTCAGCTTTAGGTACACTAAGTTAGATAGAAGCTTCTCCACTATTTAATGTGTGCCAGATTTATGTTTCTAGCCAGTAAAAGTGAAGATTACAGGGGCGCCTGGGTAGCTCAGTGGGTTAAGCATCTGCCTTTGGCTCAGGTCATGATCCCAGGGTCCTGCGATTGAGCCCCACGTTGGGCTCCCTGCTCAGTGGGGAGTCTGCCTCTCTCTCTCCTTCTGCCCTTCCCCCCTGCTTGTGCTTTCTCTCTTTCTCAAATAAATAAAATCTTAAAAAAAAAAAAAAGTGAAGATTACAGAAAAAAAAAATGTTCCGGAAGTATTAGAGACTTCCTAACAATCTGCAATCAAAAATATTAAGTCATTTTTATTTTCCACTTACCTCCTCTGCAGCTTGTTTAGAACTGAGATCAGCTTCATCTTTGTTAGCACAGGGGGCCTGAGACCTACAGGCGAGTTGATACTGAAACTTCTTTAAAGTTTGTGCATAATCTCCCACAGAACGATTGTAGTTCCAGAAAGTAGGACTGGTGGAAGGCGAGGTCGAGTCTGGACTCCCTACAATGATGAATTTAGAGAGCATCAGTGTGCGCGGTAAGAATTCTGACATACAGATTTAGTTCACGAATGCTGGGTACCGAGGCACCTGGGTAAGGGCAATCAAGGACGACAAAGCCCCAAGGGACTCTTCTCCCTCCTCCCTGACATAGTCTTTTCTTTAGAGAACATATTTTAAAAAATTAAAAAGAACATTTTCTGAGCAGTATCATGTTAAGAATTCTAAATGGCTGAGAGTGTTTATTTTTGTTGTAAAATTAAGCTTGTTTCGTTCTCTAAGATTTTCGAATGATTCAGCAAGAAACAAAGAAAAGACACATTTCTTCAGGAAAGAAATAGCCTAAGGAAGTTCCCTGCTTGAATTTTTAGTAGCTCTTTCTGAATGGGACAACTACAGTCTCCTATTAATAAACTACTCTTTGGGTCAGCAGCTACGCTCGCTTTTCCCGGTACTACGCTGCGTTCTCTTCATAGCCTATAATAACTCCTGTGTTGTATTAAAAGAGACTGCCGATTACACTTCTAAATTTATACATTTACTCCCAGGAAATGTTAATAATCCTTAATAATAATAATAGTAATAACTTAATCCTCCAGGGGCTTCTACCAGAGTACTTACCACACTCTAAGGTTATAGTTTGTCTTTTTACCCAAACAGAATTTGAGCTCCTTGAGGGCAGGAAGTATTATTTTTCCCTAGCATCCCTGTGAAGGGCTGCTGTGGCTGCTCTGGAGAATTCTGTAGGCTTTGGGAAACCTATCAGCTTGGATTTCACTGCCTGAGTGGGAACAGGTAATGAGGATATAGGCCCAGGAGAGGTAGAGCTGGATTGAGACCCTTCTCCTACCTCCATCTCCTGTACCCAGCAGAAGGCCAGGAACCTCAAGGGCCACATTTTTGGTAGGTAAGAAAAAAATCTGTCCACTGGCACCAGGATATAACAAGGAAATCTGTCTGTTTTAGGTGGTACAGGGATTTAAAAATTATCCATTTTTGTATGGGTTTAGAATACCCATTTATACCACCTGTGAAGTCCAGGAACCTCCTAGCCCAGAAATTACCTTAGTTAAGGTCAGTGATACTCCTTAGGCACTTGGCAGAGGCAAATATAAAACTGCTAGGAGGAGACAAGGCTTCTGTCCAGCTTTCCCAGGATAGAAAAGCACAGATAAATAAAACCCTACTGCAGATGAGCTTACCAAAAACAAAAAAACACATAAATCCCAAGAGGAAACAGGGTTCCAAGCAAAGGAATCAACAAGACGAAAATGTTAGTATTTAATCTACAAGAACTTTAGATAACTGAACTACTAGACAGAAGCTTTTAAAAAGTTATATTTAAAGTGATTGAGAGGGGCGCCTGGGTGGCTCAGTCATTAAGCGTCTGCCTTCGGCTCAGGTCATGATCCTGGCATCGGAGCCCCGCATCAGGCTTCCTGCATCGGGCTCCCACTCGGCGGGAAGCCTGTTTCTCCCTTTCCCACTCCCCCCTGCTTGTGTCCCCTCTCTTGCTGTGTCTCTGTCAAATAAATAAATAAAATCTTAAAAAAAAAGTGATTGAGACAGGAAAAAGAACCGAAAACATAAGAACAAAACAAGATACTCCAAAACAAATCATGCATATTTGAAAGAGAACCAAGTAAAACCTTAAAAACTGGAAGAAAAAAAAACCGCCCACAACAAATTAAAAAACTCAATGAGTTAAACAGCAAGTTAGACACTGCTTACAGAAGGAAGAACCAACCATCAGTGCAAACTGCTAAAACAAACAAACTGTGGGGTGAGGGGTAAAACAGAAGAATGCCAAACTACTAAATGTGGAAGAAATGAAAGTATTAGAAAGTTCTCCACTTTGTTGCAGCGCCTGCTTTCGGCTCAGGTCATGACTCAGTCGTTAAGCAGCTGCCTTTGGCTCAGGTCACGTTCTCAGGGTCCTGGGATCGAGCCCCGCATCGGGCTCCCTGCTCAGTCGGAAGCCTGCTTCTCCCTCTCCCACTCCCCCTGCTTGTGTTCCGTCTCTCGCTCTTGCTGTCTCTCTTTCAAATAAAAAAAAAAAAAAAGAAAGTCTCCACTTTGCAACAACCACTGCATTAACTCATTTGGGAGAGGACCATCAATGGATGCTAAAACCACTCGCTGAAAGGAGACTGGGGAAACAGGATTCACAAGTTGCAAAGTATCACACTACAGATTATTTATCAATTACAAAAGGGAAAGCCAAGGTTGCCATCATTTTGGCCAAGTGATCCAATTTAATGTTACCAATAAAGGGACAAACTGGTACAGGGATGTGTTTCCTGATATATGTTGAAAGGAGCACACCACCACCAAAGTTGTATTCTTGCCAAAAAATTGTATTTAAACTAATTCTAATCTAATAATGAAAAATGATCACACAAATCCAAATTTGCAAAACAACTAGGCTGACCTCTTCAAATGTAAATGTCATGATCCTGCATCAGTAAAAAAAAAAAAAAAAAAAGGCTACAAAGGCCATTATTGGGTCAACAGGAAGAAATGTGAATATGAATAATATTAGTATCTTAAATATGATAATTATGTTATAATTATGTTGTAGTTAGAAAGGAAAATGTTCATATTCTTAGGAGATGTGTGCAAACTAATGAAGGATGAAGTGGCCAGTCAGCAAAAAAATGTGTGAGAAAAAGTAAATGTGAGTGCCTGGTTTCTTATTGGAGAAAGGAGTTACAAATATGAAAAGGGAGTAAAGGGAATAAACACTGTATAGTTGGATTGGAATTGGAGGTATTAGTATGAACTCATGGTTTTTAATATATATAGATGGACAGATACAGAAATATATATAGGTGTGTGTGTGTGTGTGCATATATTCCTAGCTGTCCTTTTGGAGGACCTGGGTAATGATGTCCCATCATCACTGACATAACCAGTGCCCGGACATTAATTTCTAAATATCATTCTCCACTAAAAGCAATCATGGCCGCTTGGAGAAACAGACTGACTCCAGAGTTAGTTAACCAGGGAAAGTACAAGAGGAGCCTGAAATATCTTTTGGTGCTAGAAAGTAAAACAAAACAACAACAAACAAACAAAACAGAAGCCAGAGGATCCCACTAGCCAAATCTGAGACCATCTAACCAACAAAATAAATGACATTACTGGGGAGAAGAAAAAGTTCCATCTCACAAAAGAATGCCAACAAATAAATGTAAAAGGTGGTTGCACGACAATGTGAATGTACTTAACACCACTGAATTATATACACTTAAGAACGGTTAAAAGGGTAAATATTATGCATATTTTATCACAAAAGATGTTTGAAAAATGTTAAAGGGAATAATCAAGAAGGAATGCTGGAATTAGAAAGCCACTATGAGAACCAACATAGTAACAATCAATTTTGAAAAGAAATTTAAAAGGATGTTAAAGCTACTAAGTGAAATATGATGAGGAAGAGGACATTTATACAGCCTCAAAGTAGCTCCTTACAAAAATACTTATTATTTACAAATTAATTTATACAAAATACTAAATTACCTAAAACCTACAGGTAATGAGTTAGAAGTATAGGGATGGACATAAATATACCAGGCAAACACTAACCAAAGAAAATTAGTTCAGCTGTGTTAATATCAGAGAAAATAGACTCGAAGGCAAAAAGCCTAAGAGATAAAGATAAAAGGAATAATTGACCATAATGATATTAACAATCCTGAATTTATATGCACTTAGCATAATTTCCTACATATTTAGCAAATTTGACAGAATTACAAGAAGACATTTAATGGAAGACAATCAGTGGGAGCTTTTAATGGACTTTCTTACTAACTAATAGATCAAGTGGATGAAGATTAGTAAGATAAAGTCTTTAAGAACACCTTCAAGAAGTTTGGTTCAATGAACAAATATGGAGCCCAGTATTTAGAGACTATGCATTATTTTCAACATACCAAGACCCATTTATAAAAAGTGATCACACAGCACGCCTAAATCCAAGTATTAAGAAATACCAAAGAACTGACAGGGTACAGTTCACAATCTCTAGCTGTAGCACAATTCACTCAGGGGAAAAATAAAAGATAACCAAGCCTTCATTTCATATGTTGGCAATGAAAAGCAACACCAATCACTAATACTTCTAAGCAATAAAAACAACACTTCTAAATAACTCCAAAGGATCAAAGAAGAAAAAAAAAATGGAACCCAGAAAATATCTCAATAAGACGAAGATTTGTAGAGGGAACAATCTAAAGTTGTTTTTTGCATTATACTCTATAATTTTCAGTAAACTTGAAATACTTCAAAATTTAACAGGAAGAAAAAGCATGCATCAACAAATAACAAGATAATACTGATTTGTTTCTTTGACGTTTCTGGCACTTTCAGACAAAATTAAATTAAAAATCAATGGAGAGCTTTCAAGTGACACAAAGAGGCATGGTCCAATAACGGACTTCCTCACTGTGGCCACGCTTTAGCACCTAATGTGCTTTCTGTGAAAGTTCCCGAGGGGAAAAAAATCATTACTTGGCTCAATAACCTAATTTGGTTTCAAATAATTGACTTTGTTATAATCAGATCCACCCCAAATAGATTAAGATTTGCTAACACTGTTTCCCAAAGTAAACCAAAGACAAGTTCAAAAAGGTTCTGAAAAACAGCAGCACTTCTAGAGCAAATCCGTTCTCTCTCCGCCACACCAATCTTCCCAAGGACCAAAAGGAGACAACTATCACTTCAATAAGCTTTGCTATGCACTGCTTTAAAAACATTTGATAGCCTCAAGTTTTAAACAGAAAGTATAACTTACATTATATGAAAAAGCTTTCAATCTTAACGTGGATGAGAAGTTCAAGATTTCTTGGTTCAGCTATATTTTACTTCTTAAATTTGGTGAGCTTAATTCTAACTATACAAAATATAAAAACAAAATATATTTCTCTCCTAGGCAATACAAGGTATATTAGTAAAAAAGAAACATTTATGGACAGGTATCAAAATACTGAACATAGTGAGTTAAGGATATTGTAAAGTAACACCAAAAATATGTACATTAGATCTAACTAAAAATATATATACGTACCCAGCTTAACTCTGTGCTGTTTCTCTTCTTCACTTCTAAGAAAAGTATCCAAAGTTCGTAGGTCTGTCATGTAGTCTTCTTTGTCAGTAGGGGAATTATAAACGGTGGGTGAAGACCGGTAGCGAGATCTCAATCCACTGCTCTCCACTGGTCCAACAGTAGTAGGGTATGGAGAAGAAGGAGAGGGACTATAGCTTGCCAACTATACAAAATAAAAGAACTTCTTCTTTATTGAAATTTATTTGTTTTGGTTTTTGACTTTCAAAAAGTAACACGCCAATTAGAACGGCCAAAATCCAGAACCATGACAATACCGAATGTTGGTGAGGATGTGGACCAACAGGAACCCTCATTCACTGCTGGCGGGAATGCAAAATGTATACATAGCCACTTTGGAAGACAGTTGGCAGTTTCTTACAAAACTAAACTACACTTAGCATATGATCTAGCAATTGTGCTCCTTGGTATTTACCCAAAGGAGTTGAAAACTTATGTCTACACAAAAACCCGCATACAGATGTTTACAGCAGCTTTATTTATAACTGCGAAAACCTGGAACCAATGAAGACATCCTTCAGTAGGTGAATGGGTAAACTGTGGTATACCTGGACAACGGAGTATTATTCAGCATAAAACGAAATGAAATATGGGGCACGTTGGTGGTTTAGTTGGTTAAGCATCCAACTCTTGATTTCGGCTCAGATCATGATCTCCGGGTCGTGAGATCAAGTCCCACAGAGCCAAGTCAGCTCCAGGCTGGGCGTGGAGTCGGCTTAAGAGTCTCTCTGTCCCTTACCCTCTCCCCTTCACTGCCCACTCCACCTCCCCACTTGCGCACGAGCATTCTCTCTTTCAAAAAAGAAAAAAAAAAAGAAGTGACCTATCAAAGCCATGAAAAGACATGGAGGAAACTTAAATGCACATAACTAACTGAAAGAAGCCAATCTGAAAATGCTACACACTGTACGATTCCAATTATATGATATTCTGGAAAAGGCAAAACTATGGAGAAAGTAAAAAGATCAGTAGTTGCCAGAGACTGGGGAGGATGAATAGGTAGGGCACAAAAGATTTTTAGGGCAATGAAATTACCCTGTTATGATACCATACAATAATGGTGGATACGTGTTACCATATATTTGTCCAAACCCACAGAATGCACACCACTGAGAGTGAGCCCTACAGTAAACTATGGCCTCTGGGTGATAATGATGTTCCAATGTAGGTTCATCAATTTTAACAAATATACCACTCTGGTGGGGGATTTTGATAGCTGGGGGGAAGCTATGCCTGTGTGGGGGCAAAAGGTATACAACATGTCTCTGTACCTTCCTCTCAGTTTTGCTACAAACCTAAAACTATTCTAAAAAAAAAGTCTGTTTTTTAAAAAAGCAATATATGCATGTTTTAAAAAATGTAAAGTTTGAAGAAAGTAAGTCGTACTCTTCACAACCTAGAGATAATATAATCCTTTCATATTTTATGTTCAAATCTTTAAGTGTACACAGCTATATCAGTATATTTTTCCTTCTACACAATTGAGATAATACTGTTTAGCTTTATAACCTCATTTTTTAAAAATTTTTAAAGATTTATTTATTTTAGAGATGGAGACAGAGAGAGCGTGTGAGCATGTGCATGTGGGAGCAGGGGTGGGTGGCGCAGGGCAGAGGAAGAGGGACAGGGAGAGAATCTCAAGCAGACTCCCAAGCAGAAACCAACTGAGCCCCTCAAGTGTCCCCTCATTGTTTTTTTTTAAAAACTAAGGATTTTCCTATAAAAATCCTTTATAAGTATTCTTACTGGCTGTGTAATATTTCATTGTACAAATATACCATAATTTATTTTTATAGTCTCTTATTCTAGACATTTGAACTGTCTACATAATTTTTGGCCACTGTAAATAATATTGATTAACATCTTTGTACATAAATCTTAATTTCTGAGGATGCCCTTCAGGAGATTCCTAGAACAGAAATGATTGGGCCAAAGCATATGAACATTTAAATACATATTCCCATTCTATTAAATGAAAATGTTATACTAAGTACAATTCAGAAGAAAGCTGATAGGAGGACCTATTTTGGTATACATCCATCAGCATTACTACTTTAAAATGTTTATTTGATATAGATGAATTTTTAAAAATTTACATTTAGCTTGTGTTTCCTTATACTTAAAAGTTAAACACTTTAAAAATACAATTACCGGTCACTGTATTACCTATTTTATTAAATATCTACTCCAGTACATCGATAATTATTTTTACTGGGGTTTCATTATCAATTTATATTAGCTTGCTTTAAATCAAGGATTAAAAAATCTTTTAGTTTAATGCTGATTTAAAATAAAAATGTTGGGGCGCCTGGGTGGCTCAGTTGGTTAAGCGACTGCCTTTGGCTCAGGTCATGATCCTGGAGTCCCGGGATCGAGTCCCACATCAGGCTCCCTGCTCAGCAAAGAGTCTGCTTCTCACCCTCCTTCTCACCCTCCTCCCTTTCATGCTCTCTGTCTCTCATTCTCTCTCTCAAATAAATAAATAAAATCTTAAAAAAAAAAAAATAAAAAATAAAAAAATAAAATAAAAATGTTAATCCTCTTCGACACTGATTTCTCTTATGGGGGTGGAGCCTATTTAAAAAAAAATCCTTACATATGCTATGATATTTGGGCTAAATAAACCATACTGGGCTAATAAACCATTGACTGGTTTATTTTTACTCAAGGGGCACATTTTATGCACAATATATATTACCTTATTTTATCCTCTCAATAATAGGTAAATATTACTACTGTACTAATTGTGGACATGAGAAATTAGGTTAACTCACTCAAGATCCTACCAGGATTTCAATCCAGTTTTTCTGACTATAGAATTTAGGCTTTTAATATGTTTTATTGGATCAGAATTAGCTGTCCATACACTAGAAGAATGTGGGTAAATACTGAAGATGGGTAACAGGTATGTTTGAAAACTTCAATAATCAGAAGTTTAAAAGTAACTGGTTTCTTGAAAATTTAAAAGAACTCAATAGCAAAATTTCAGGGCTCTAATATATTCTGCAGATACATTTGATTAAAATTTTTCTTCCGTATTTATTTAGGTTTTCTACTTTGTCAATCTTGGCATTTTTTTCCCTAGAAAAATAATTATTCTATTTCATTAACTTTTCTGAGGTAGTAATTTGGTTCAACAAATACTTATATAGCATCTATATTCCATACACTGGGCTAAGAAAACAAAGATGAATAAAAAACACAATCCTGTACTTGAGGTTACAATCTAGTAGAAAAAGATAATTAAACAATGTTACCAACTTTATGTAAAGAGTTATTTAGTACAGATTAGTAATAGTTTCTAAGAAATAAAAAAAACTTAGTTATTCAAGAGTAAACTATGGTATTTCCACTAGATGAGTATTAAGTAGCCATTAAACAGAAATTATGTTTGGGTGGAAAACTATGAGTGATTTTTCTTTTCTCATGAAAATAAAAGCTATTTTTACAAGTCATATTTACCTATGGGTTATGAATTATCACTATATACACATTTCCTCATAATATTTAACTTGTACAAAATGTTCTAAATTCTATTACTTGCCAAAATTATCAGGTAACCAGTAATATGGAATTTCATTACAAAGAAATATTATATAAAGAGTAAGGGGCAGTGTGTTGATTTCATTTGCAGACATCCCTCATTTAACTAGCAGCTATAGAGATGTTAGTCTAACTAGAGAGAGCATCTGAAAAAGTGACCATCGCCCCCTACCTTTTAAATGATTTTTTAAAAAGATTTTATTTATTTGACAGAGAGAGAGAGAGAGAGAGAGAGAGAACACAAGCAGGCGGAGCAGCAGGCAGAGGGAGAGGGAGAAGCAGACTCCCCGCTGAAGAGGGAGCCCAATGTGGGGCTTGATCGCAGGACCCCGGGATCATGACCTGAGCCAAAGGCAGACACTAAACCAACTGAGTCACTCAGGCGCCCCTGATTTTTTTTAAGTAATCTCTACACATAACGTGGGGCTTGCACACACAACTGCGAGGTTAAGAGCTGCCCGCTCTACTGACTGAGTCAGCCAAGCGCCCCTGACCATCTCTTTAATGCTCCTTTTATGTTCTTATGCTTCAGGCAGGAGTCCTAATTTCAAATTTGTCAATGTTGCTTCTATCAAGTCCAAAAATGAGAACTATATCCCACTTTACTGTGGGAGTTGGAATGAAGGTTTCTAATCATCCCTTTTGAAAGGGGTGTCCATCCTCAAGAGTCCAACTACACAACTCTTTTTAGCTTAGGAGGTAATCCAACATAATGAAAGCATTAAAATTTTATTTATTTAGGGTGCCTGGGTGGCTCAGTCGTTAAGCATCTGCCTTCAGCTCAGGTCATGATCCCAGGGTCCTGGGATCGAGTCCTGCATCGGGCTCCCTGCTCAGCAGGAAGCCTGCTTCTCCCTCTTCCCACTCCCCCTGCTTGTGTTCCCTCATTTGCTGTCTCTCACTCTGTCAAAAATAAATAAATAAAGATTTTATTTACTTATTTTTTTTTTTTTAAGATTTTATTTATTTGTGAGAGCGAGCAAGCGCATGTACAAGCAGGGGGACCGGCAGGCAGAGGGAGAAGCAGGATCCCCACCAAGCAAGGAGCCGGATGCTGGACTTGATCCCAGAACCCTGAGATCACGACCTGAACGAAGGCAGACACTTAACCGACTGAGCCACCCAGGTGTCCCAGAAAGCATTAAAATTGTATAAGGTTATACAAAAGTTTCACATAAACAAGCAAAGAAAGAGGGCAAACATGAATTTAAAAACTAAAAGAAAAAATTATCATAGTCTCAGCTGGTTTGAAAAACCCTGCAGAAAGATCCTAGACGGTGACCCTCAGAGTCCATTATCTTTGCGAAAGCTAATTTTTTTCCTTTCACTTTAGGATGTAGTATAAAGAACTTCTGACTAGGTATAAGGATCTGGGTTCTGTTCTTGGATCTTAAATGGGCAATTTGGGCAAGTCAATTATCCACTGTTCCTCAGTTCCCTCAGTGAGCAAATGAAGAGTTTTGACTCATTTGCTGATTTTCAAGGTAGCTCCCCATACTAAAATAATGTGACTGGCCAAGAGAAAGGATTCATTACCTTATTATAACCACTGATGGGAGAGTAAGTCACTCCAGGGCTATAGGAACCGCTGCCCCCTGATGACAGACCTTGCAGCTGAGGGCTATATCCAGTTATACAGCTGGTGGTGAACTTGGGGCTGGTACTGGGTGAACGAGATGGGCTATAACTCAACACACTCTGACCCTGAATTGAAGGAGAAGGTGGAGAGGGAGGGATCTGGGTTGCTGCCAGATCATGTGGAGGAGTAGTCTGTACAACTAGAAGGAAGGAAGGAAAGAATAAATAAATAAATAAATAAGTGAATAAAAGATGTGTGTGCATGTATAAATAAAATTTCTACAAAAACAGACAATGAACTGAACCTTTTTCAAGAAAAGAGAAAGTAATAGGGTGACTTGGTTGTTAAATTACATAACGTATTATAACCTAAGGACACAAAGTAGTTGTTTACCATTTCCACAGATTTTAAAGTAAGAGATTAGCTTCAATGCCGTAAGAGTTAGTCATTTAATTTTAATTGTAATTAAACAAAGGAATAAACTTTCATGAGGCTGTTGAATATTATTTCCATTCAGTTTATACAAATAGGAATGATAATCATTGGTCTTAAGACAATTTATTATAGACTTGCTTAATATAGTTGAACCAGATGGCCTTAGAAGCCCCTTCCAGCTCAGTCTATAAAAAGGGCAAATTAAATTGAGAAAGATTTATTGCCAACCTTTCCCCCACCTTGGCAAAAGATATAAAACACTTACCAGCTGTTTTCAACCCTAAAAGTGTTTGCTGTCCAGGGCTAACAACCAGACTTGTTGGTGCCACAGTGTATTTGAAATATCTCCAAAAATCAAATAAGGCGTTTAGGCTGAAGAGGGATGCAAGGGCAAGCTCTGGAAGAGAACAATATTTTTATTTTTTTTAAAGGGGGGTAGACCATCTAAAGGGGGGAACAAAAACTCTTCATATTTCAGCAAGTTAACAACAAAATTGAAAACTATCTTCTTATTCCTCATAACAGTTACCATTTAATGAATGTCAACTATATACAATGTTTATTACATAAATGTTTATTATAGGGCATTTACTAGTGAATTTCAAAGTATTATCGGGGCACCTGCTGGCCCAGTTGGTAGGTAGAGAATGTGACTCAATCTCAGGGTTGTGAGTTCAAGTCCCACATTGGGTATAGAGATTACTTAAAAACAAAAAATCTTAAAAAAAAAATATCATCACTAATCCTTACAACCTTGTACAATAAACATTTTCACCTTCACTTGACTAGAGAAGTCAAGTGACTTTTGCAAGAACACACAGCTTGATATTGAACCCATGATTACACCTCAGGTATGCAGATTCCAAAACTCCTTGCCACATCACCTCCCTATCACAGACTCCAGGTTAATGTGTGTATTAGACTATGGAATTCACTCCAATGGCCATAAAGACTCTTCACACCCCAGGACTACTGAAGAGCAGAGTGAAGCAGACAGAGGAAGTAACAAGGAAACTGAGGAAGGCATCAATGGAATACAAATCTGGTTGTTCTTGAAAGGAACAACGGTAGGGAAGTAGGGAAGGCATTTCAGAGAGAATAACAAATACAAATCACCACCACCAAACACTGTTTTTCATCACAGAACTCCAACGATTACCTGGAATTGTACTGTTTGTTTCCTCTACTAGAAAGTTCCTTCCATGAGAGCAGGGACCTTGTTCCCTTCCTGTTGTATTCCCAGTTTTTGGAACATAGTACACACTCGAATATTTATGGAATGCAGGAATGAATACTAAATTGAATTAAATATGAATGCAGTTTTTCATTGGTAGTAAATCTTAATCAGAGTAAAAATTAATTACTTACCAATATACCAGAGGGGCCAGTATGTCACATTATAATATGAACTAATCAATTTTCCAGTCCTGAAAAAATCAGACAGGCTTTTCAAAATCTTAAAAAAACACGAAAAACAAACAACAACGACAACAAACACCCCAAATCCAAACACCAAAACCTGTGGAACTGACCACTGGCTTCTTTTAAGTTTCACTTTTTTCTGGCTAATTAACTTACATTTCAGTATATATCATTCCAGCCATAGATACATTTAGGAGTCCCCAGGCTAAAACCACTTTCTTAGCTTCTGTTTCTTTTCTCATCTTGATGGTTGTGTCAATGAGGGAAGCACTAGGATTTGTGTCCCCTTGCATCTATTCAAAAATAAAAAGCACGGGAATTAATGAAACAAAACAAAACAAAACAAAAACACTTCTCCATTTAAGAGACTTGTGTCCCTTATAACAGTAACTAGAAACTGCACATTTCCCCTTAACTTTAAAATGTCTTTCCAAAACTTTTTACATTTTACTATTATTATATGAAAAGGGAACGCTAAATTATAAGTTTATGGCACCATACTGTAATCAACAGAGAACTGGCTCAGCACTTCAGAGAACAATACTTCCAACGAATAAAAATGTCTTATTTTGTATTTAAAGGATGGTGATTATATCTACAATTATTCTGTATTGTGCTTTTGGAATATGTCACAAGGATTAGCCCAAGGGCTAATTTAAAAAACTCAAAATACCAAGCTTTGGGAGAAAATATTCCAAATTAGTTATGCCATTAAAGGCTCTCCTCTTACATCTTCACGCAGAAGCCATTAACTGCCTACCATCGTAAACAACTCTGCACTCGGGATTGTCGCACGCCAGAGACCCCTGTTTTGTGTTGCTGATAAAGTGTAAGATTTTATGTTTTATAAGGGTGAACACTCATGGTGTGAAGGGGACGAGACCGACTGGGGAGTGTGCAATTTGGGTCCACATGGGATTTATATTTCCTTTGTTTCGCTAGGCCTCATCTCAGACAAACGTAAGACTCTTCCGTATCTAGAGTCGTATCCAGACAGGACAGAGCAGCACCCTTCGCGCCTCCCAGTCCGCGAGTCCAAACTTCCCAGTCCCCAGAGCTTCCCTCCCTGGGTCTCCCAGCACAAACTTTGGCAACCCCTATTGCTTCTTTCGTCCTTCCACTAAAGGTGTTGGGACGCCTGGCCACACCCCGCTTTGGCTGAACCCTCGGCAGATCCACAGTCACGGAAATCCCACGGCCCGCGTGGACTCCACGTCCTGGAAGCACAAAGATGACCCCCCAAAACGCACCATGTTCTTCGGCCGGAAGCCGCGGGCTCGCGCCACTCTCTACTGCACATGCGCGAAGCCAAGAGCGAAGGAGAAGGCAACCGGCTTGCGGGACTACAGTTACCGGAAGAACGGACCTTCTCGCGAGAAGAGGAGGGTGGGGGGGAGGGACGAGAGCTCGGAGCGTTACCCGGGAAACAGCTTTAATGTTTGTGGCTCCCACTTTTCCGCGGGGAGAAAGCCGAGCAGCAAAAATTCAGACCAAGTTCTGAACCCGCAGTAAAAAGTAATAATTGTAACAAGCTGAATTTCTATATATTAATATAATTTTAGCTTCCTTAGGGTATTTATGGACTCACATTTTTAAGCAGATTTTTTTAAGCAGGGTAAGCTAATTGTAGGGTAGAGTATGGGGTAACGTGTCCACACATCCATCAGCGACGACAAAGCATTTCTCACAAAAACAAGTGTTCTGACCCGATGTAAAGCCTTAAATATCCTTGGAATAAGGGTGCAGCGGTAGGAAGAAAGCCCCAAACGTGTTAAAGTTGCTAGTGGTTTTGAGGTTTAAAAAAAATCCAGTCGTTACTTTTCTTGCATATTCTTCGGAAGAACTTCTAACCTTGAGGAAAAGGCTTATCAGGGAGTTCAGTTTGTTTTTAACAAATACAAACGCCTACACTGTGCCACTGAGCCATGCGCGGGGATGTAAAAGTGGAGTTCCCTGGTTAGTGTCTGGAGGAGTTCAGCCGGCCTGTGCACTAGAGGGGCAGGGGAGGTGGGGCACGGTGAGCCTGCAGGGGGTGCGACTGGCAGGCTCCTGGAGAGCTTCCTGGAGGACACGATGCAGGCCTAAGGCATAGGGCCAACAGCCACGAGGAGCAGGGCGTGGGGACCCGCCATTGGGGATGTGGAGAAACGGTACCCTAATGAAAACATCACGCCTTTTCATAATAAGCTAGTGGATTGTTACATCATGTACGCGTCAGTGACCAAAATTTTTCCTAAGATGCACCTAAAGTCAAATAGAAGAAAATGAAGTTTCCTCGTGGTATTGCATATTAATGGAATCGGCAGGTATGCTATGCTTTTAAAGATCTAACAGGTTTTCTTTTTTTTTAAAGATTTTATTTATTTGAGAGAGCGAGAATGAGAGAGAGAGAGAGAGCGCACATGAGAGGGGGGAGGGTCAGAGGGAGAAGCAGACTCCCCGCTGAGCAGGGAGCCCGATGCGGGACTTGATCCTGGGACTCCAGGATCATGACCTGAGCCGAAGGCAGTCGCTTAGCCAACTGAGCCACCCAGGCACCCTATAACAGGTTTTTTAAAACTGTGATTTTAATAATTTTAGAATGCCTTAGCAGCAATGGTGTTTTGCTCTAGTTTTAGATTCAGAGATGAACTAACTCGAAAATTGTTCAAAGTGAAGGGCTTCAGTGTACAGTCAGAATTAGAATACCAGGTTCCTCCCCACCTCATAGCTCTTTTCCTAAGAAATTGACACATCTTTTTTTTTTCTTCTTCATTTTAAGTAGGCTGCGCGCTTAGCATGGAGCCCAAGCTGGGCCTGAACTCACAACCCTGAGATCAAGACCTGAGCTGGGATAAAGAATCAGAGGCTTAACAGACTGGGCCACCTAGGCACCCCTACAACAGACACATCCTTGTTTCCTCTCTTAATGTCCTTAAGTTACTGTGCACTTATTGAAGGCTTAAGAAGGAACACTATTATATATAGTGTTTTGCTAACTGGCATTATGTGTTAGTTTGCAAGGGTTACCATAAAAAATACCATGGACTGGGTGGCTTAAACAACAAAAATTTATTTTTTCACAGTTTTGCAGGTTAAAAGTCCAAGACCAAGGCAAAGTCGTATCCAGCAAAATTGGTTTCTCCTGAGGCCTCTTCCTTGGCTTGAAGATGGCGGCCTTCTGTGTCCTCACATGGCCTTTTTTTCTGTGTCCACACACCCCTGGGGTGTCTCTTTCTCTTATTATAAGGACATCAATCATATTGGATTAGGGCCCTATCTTTATGACCTCTTTAACCCTAATTATCTCTTTAAAGGCCTTATCTCCGGTTATCGTCAAATTGGGGGTTATTCATTCAACATATGAATTTGGGGGAACGCAGTTCAGATTACCTCAGTCTTAGATTTTACAGACATTAAAATTTAAAGAAAATACAGTATGTACAAGTTTCAGGAAAATAAAAAAAAGATTAAGGTAGAGTGCACCCTTTTGATGTATGGGGGAAATACCATAAACTTTCATAGAAATAATTTAGATAATCTTCCAAAAACTTAGAAATCCAAGAAGTGTTTGTCAGTTCCTGTCACAGTTACTGAAGCGCATGTCACAATAGGTTGCCAAGGAAATTGTCATATATGTGGAGTGAAGTACTTCTCAGTCATCTTCATTCTTTTGAGCATGCTTTATTTTCAAAGCAAGAAGCCATCATGGGAGACCTTTTTTCCTTATTTTGGGAGGTGGATCCTCCCCCCATACCTTTAAGTTTTACCATTCCAAGTCAGGAATATGAATGCCGGAAGGATGACTCTTGCGGGGCAATAGGGAGCTTCCTGCTTTGGTATTTTGTCATTATATTGGTCCTGATGTTCTTCTCTCGGGCTTCTGTCTGGGTAGGATATCCTATTTCATTTAAAATAATATGTTTACTCTATCATAGGGGATTTTCCATAAAATAAATTCACTCTACTTCGGTCAAACTGCTTTTTAAAAGTTTGTTTTCTAGTTTTAAAAATAATGCAATCTCGTTCTAGAGCATCCAAGAATACAGAAAAGGATGAAGAAGAAAATTTAAACTACTGTAATCCTATTTCCTAGAGATGGCCGTTGTTAATATTTTGGAGTAATATTCTAGTCTTTTTGTCTTTTTCTCTATCAGTATATTTCTCTCAATCTCTCTTTGATCTTACATGGTTGGTATTGCATTGTATATATTTTCATATCCTGCCTTTTAAAAACTTAATATTATATTGTAACACTTCTCAAGTCATATTCACACAGCAGCACTCTTAATGACTGCATAATTTTGTCTTATGGTTGCACCATAACAGATCTGCAATTCTGAGACATTTAGGTTGTTTGCAGTTTGTCCATAGCCTGTGTAATGCTGGGATAAACTTCCCTACTGGTAACTGACCTCCAAATTCCTTTTGTAGCCATGTAATTCTAATCAAAGATACAAAAGTTGTCATATTTATAGAATACATGTTGTAGGATTTGGGAGCTTTTAGAATGAGGCAATGTACTCTCCTGAAAGATAAGATGCAGAACTAAACTAAACTAAACAGAACAAAAGTCATCATTTTAGACCACCTACTAGCAGAAGAAAATGCCATCCTCTTAGGAATGAGATAGCCCAGTTTTTCAGGACTGTGAATCTCCAACATATTATGAGTAACCGAGCTCTTATAAATTGCTGACATGGAGTCCTTGCTGGCCATTAATACCAGGCTGATGATTAATCAAACCACCATCATTTGGCATTACAGCCAGAGCGCTGGCCTGGCAACGGTCAGCTAGACTTGAGGGCTGCATCAACTCTAGATGGAGAGGAGGAGTTTTGTTATGTCTATGCCAGCTGGGTTCCATTATAATAATCAAAGACTCTTCCCCTCACCACCTCTTCCCCCTAAGAAGAAGTTTCATCTAAAGTCTAAATGCTTCTTAAAGTAGATACTTGGCCAAAAGGAGATTTAGAATAGTGATCCTTTATATGTGTCCTAGACTCCTTCGCTAAGTATATTGAATTTGTCTGGATTGGCCAGAAAAGCTACTTTAGAAAATTAACAAAAAAATTGAAATTGATTCCTGGCAATTTCATCATGAAGACCACTTAAGAGGTCTAAGTTATTCTTCTGCTCCTTTGCTTGCATCAGCTCTTTGGAATCATAGAGCCTGAGCTTCAAAGACCTAAGAGAGCATGCAGTCCAGCCTCCTTTTTGTAGGCAAGTAAGATACCAGTATCCCTCCTCTTTTTTTTTTTTTTTTTATAAGGCCCAAAGAAATTAAGTGACTTGTCCAATGTCACACAAGTGGTTAGTGATGGAGGAGAAATAGACCCAGGTTTCCTGCCATGTAATTCATTTGCTTCAAAGCATAGCTGAAATGTTGAATTAAATCTATTCAGTGCTGATTAAAACCTTAATTATCTTAGAGGTTTCATCTTTCACTTTGTACCCCTATGGCAGTTACAATTGGCTGAACTGCTTCTTGTGAAGGGTCCCAGATTTGAAATCTGAGAACCATATGAGAGCTAGTCAAGGAGAATGGAATTTTTCCTTCACTTTGAACTTCATTTTTTCTGCTAAACTATGAGCCTTTATTTACAAACCTTGAAGTAATGGTAAAAGCGTGATGGAAATGTGGTGGTAATTATCCTCAAACGTGAAGCACACTGATTTCCTCTGGATTTCCCACTCTTTAGGATGCATTTACCCTTTTGCTTTCAGACACTATAAATACTATATTTAGCTTATATATTTGTTTAGTGTTTATTCAGACTGTTAGTGCTGGTATTTTTCCAAACAATACTGGTCCAAGCTTCTCATTTTGCATATGTGGAAACTGAGCTTTAGGAGGTGTTAAGTGAATTGTTAAAATTGCAGACCTGTGCCATGGCTGAAAGGCAGAGCCATACCTAGATCTCTCCACTGTTCTCGCCTACTCCTCAGGGCAGGTCCTGCTGATGTTTTCACTCACTGAGTCACACACAGATAGTTAATAAAATGCTTTTGGTAACCACAGTTCATGCGATTCCACTTAGCTTGATGCAAAATCTTTTGATTTGGGGATTATATTTTGATTTGACATAAAGTCAAATATGGAAGATTTCCATAAAAATGATGTAAACCTAATAAATGTTTTTAAACATTTCTCCCTGTCTGTTACAAAAGTATGCATTATAGAAAACGTGGAAATTATAGGAAAGTACAAAAAATGAGAAAAAAACACTCCAGATTACATGGAAATAACCAACTACTATGAACTTTTAGGTGGATAAACTTCTAATCATTTAAAAATTATCTCTATATGTATTAAATTTAAAATAAGCCTCCCCCCCAATCATTGTTAAAAGAGAGATATCTCAAAAGAGGATTCTACTCTTAAGGTTTTCAGAGAACGTTTGCAGAAACCCAAAAAGCAGTGAGGTACCTCATTAAAGATACTTACCTGCTGTTGTAGAGATCAGATATTAAGAAAAGAATGGGCCAAGGATCCTCGATTGTAGTTATGAATACCCACGTGTGGCATTTTCAACCCAAAGGGAGTTTGACTTTCTATAAAAATTCATTTTTCCCCAATTGTAGACAACCTGAAAAGTTAGAAGGAAAAATATCACCGTTTCACTCACAGTCAACCATTGCTAACACTTGTCTACATTGTTTAAAGTCTTTTCATATTTTTAGCTAGCTAGTGATTATACTGCATATACAAATTTCCATCTTGATTTTTAACTTAATAGTATAACATGTATTTCCTCATGTTGAGACATGCTTTTCTTATAATAATTTTTACAACTATATATTATGATTGTAACATAATTTATTTAGGGGTGCCTGGGTGGCTCAGTTGGTTAAGCGACTGCCTTCGGCTCAGGTCATGATCCTGGAGTCCCGGGATCGAGTCCCACATCAGGCTCCCTGCTCAGCAGGGAGTCTGCTTCTCCCTCTAACCCTACCCCCTCTTGGGCTCTCTCTCTCACTCTCGCTCTCTCAAATAAGTAAATAAAATCTTTAAAAAAAAACAATTTATTTAACCATTGCCTACTTTTGATTTTTGAATTTTATATTATCCTAATTACACTGCGATTATTTTTGTGCACAAAGTTTTCTCTCTTTGAGGGGTTATTTCCTGGTGATAGATTCCTAGTAAGAATTATTATGTGTCAAAAGTGTAATAAGTATTTCTAAAGTTTTGATGTATTTTGAAAGAGTTGCTTTATATTTATATTTTAGCAAAATCATGTTCAGCATCAAAAAATGGGACACTGATCTGAACAATGGGACAAATTTATTTATGGAGTATTGGGCTAGGATATTTGAAATTGGAACTGTTCAAAGAAATCCATTTCTTTTTTGTTGCCAAACTCACAGATAATATGTTGTGGTTGCATTTTGGAGGAAAGTTTCTGAAAGACTTAGGAGATATTAAGTTTATGAACTCTGGTAAAGATTTCAAGGGTTACAAAAAAGGTGACCTGATAAAATGTCCTTTACAAAGTAATTAAAAATGAATCCCAGTACTATAAAATCTGTTTTTAAATGATATTTAAATGATATTTCTTTACAATGTGAGTACAGGAAAACTTTATAACCCGTAGATCCTCATCAATATTTTTTTTCTCTCAAGTCTTTGTTCCATTTGGTTTGGTTCAAAACGTTTTGGCAGACTCTGCTATCAAAGCCTGGTCTTCCAGTGGGCAGCAGGCGAAAGGATCACTATAATAGGAACTCAATAAGAATTTATTGAATTGTACTGAATGTTTAAAATTAGACATTGTCCAAGAATCTAGGGCAACAGTGTTTTATGTAAGTGAAAAACAACCAACTGAGATTGCTATTACTGACCTGTGTATTTCTGAAACAGATGTTGGAGAAGAAAAAGGATGAAGACAGTGGGACCAGCACCTCAATCAGTAAAGGTAAGAGCTGGTGCATATTTGGTATTGGAGTAAGATGAGCGAAATATGTGCTGAATGTGGAAATCAAACAACCGAGTGTGGTTAAAGGGCCTCCCCAGAGCTGTGGCGGCCCCTTGGATGGGCTCCTTGCTTTAGTGCAAGACAGCTTAGCTGCCTTTAGTAGAGCTCAAGCTCTCTCTTCATTCCTCAAGTATTCTCCCTTCATACAGCTTGTCTTTCATATAACTTTATTGTTAGTGTTGCTACAGGACTGTGAGCTTTATATGACACTTTTTAATAACCTATAAGCAGTGGTGTGCTGGTAAATGTTTAACAACTGGCTCTCCAAAAATGGGTATGTGTATATACATGTTTTTTTTTTTTTAAATGTTGCTGATATGAAGGATGTATATCACACAATTTACAAGTAACCAAATGTATAATACACTTTATGGTAAATTCCATCTCGACCGCCAATTTTGGCAAAACGCTTTTCCATGACTTCTGCCGGACCCTTGCATCTTTAGCCAACCAATGGTTGCAATGGATGAACAAGTGTAGTCCGATATGAATGTTATTTTCCTGTAAGTTAAGGAGTAAGATGAAGGAAGCAGGAAGATGTATGTTACAACTTACCTTGGTTGTCAGTGATATGACTTCTCTGCTGAATTGGATAATCGTTTTAGAATACCCTGGAAGGATATTTCCTCGTTTTTGGGTGTGATTCATAATGTAGTGGCTACAGGATGACACTTTTAAGTGTAATCTATGTTAGTAACATGTTTTTTTATCACATTAAGCCTAGATGATCAACAAAACCACGAACAAGACCTGATTTAAAAAAAAAAAAAGACCAGATTTTTAGTGCTCATTGATTTTTATCCCGCCCACACTGATTTCAAATTACCAACATGACGTTGTTACTGGAGTGGAGTTGGGAATAGACGCACAGTAACACGCCATTACATAGTATTTCCAATATCCAGATACAACAGAAATAGATAGCTTCGAGAGCTATTTCTTAATAAAATGTCATAAAATAATTAGGAAGTGATTAGTTTCAAATATTTATTACATTTATGTGTAATAAGTGGATTTAATGGTAAGTTTGTATAATTTAATTTTGACTTATGGGCTGTGTTTTAACAACCATCTCAGAATTCCTTAAAGTGTAACCCTCTGTTCTTGTGAGCTAGCTGGTAGAAGACAAGTACAGCACATCACTGTATAGAGAATCTGCTACCCAAATCATATTCACATACATACTTGAATCTTTAAGACTTCAAGGCAAGGGAAAAAGGGTCCTTCTCTGGAAAATCTTGGCGACCTTTCCCCCTGATCTTATATCAGGGGTCCACAAAGCTTCAAAAGCAATGTGTCAAGCATCTATTTTGACCCCTCTGGTCTTCAGGAGACTTGGTATCGTAGTGGAAAATGCAGGCAGCTGCCAACACTTGCAAATGAGTGAAGACAAGTGGTGGCTTGCCAAATGGCAACCGAGAGTGAGTCCACACATGCCATAGGCTTCCTTAGGTAATATGAAATTACAGTAACCAATTATATGCCTGACATCTTGATTTGTTTCATTGGTTGTTAGCAAGCAAAGACACTTCCTATAAGCGGCAAAGCAAAGATGGTGACTGGGACTCTTTACAAATGATGAAAAAACCAAAGCAGAGCCAACTTACCCCTGTAACTGACTCAGAAGTGGCTTTGGTCAATGCCTATCTTGAACAAAGACGAGCCAGGCGCCATTCTCAGTTCAGCCAGGTGAATCAGATCCAACATGATAGTGATACTACTGAGTGTGACAGTGAAGAATCTAACTCGGGAGCCTCTTCGTGGAAGGAGAGTGAAAGTGAACACCATCCGTCACCAGCTAGTATTAAGAAGAGAAAACTAGCTGAGAGGCAAAGGAATGTGGGAAGTTACCAAATCAGGGAAAGGCCCTGCCTCCACTGCAAAGCCATGAGAACAAATGAATGGTTGACCCGCCATTTCCTTCAGAGTACTTCAGTAACCCACATGAAGGCAGATATTCAAGAGGAAAATTGTGTACCTGACATTAATACAAAATTCAGTAAATTTTGAATTTTATCAAGTCCTTACTTTACTTGCAGCCAGATGAAAGAGATGAATAAAACACAAAAAATCACCAGAACTCTAGGTGCAGAGGCTTTTACAATAAAGTCTCTCTACTAACAACAAAAACATACTTGAAACCCAAGAGGTAGAATTTCAGATAATCCTTTGTCCAAAAACAGGCCAGTGAATTTGTTTATGGCACCATTGGAACATCAAAGATCTGCTTCTACTATGATTTTTTAATTCAAAAGAGCACAAGACATATTTTATTCCTTGAGTGTATGTATTTTGTTTATGTCTGTAATACAAATAAGGAAGCTCTTTGAAAATATATTTATGTTCAGAAACCATTTAAATTTATTTGTATGTTTTGATTGACTGACTGAGTGAATTAGGTGACATTGGTTGGCATGGAATGGACCATATACTCCAGGTACGTATTTTCCAGTGACTCTATCTGAGCTGTATTGCTGCATGTGTGTCAGCTACAGTTGGTGAGGAGGAAGAACTCAAGAGCCTGGAAAAATACCTGATTCCCAGAGTAGAGCAAGGAGGGAAGGCAGTGTGGCCCAGAGGGTGGCTGGGCTGTGGGCTGTCCACCTGGTTATTCTCCAAAGGTAATGACAAATGTTAAAGAAAAAATTATTCTGACACCTGTTTTTTGTTTTTGTTTTGTTTTTTTTAAGATTTTATTTTATTTTATTTTTTTAAAGATTTTATTTATTTATTTGACACACAGAGAGAGAGAGCGAGAGAGAGAGAGAGAGCACAAGCAGGGGGAGCGGCAGGCAGAGGGGAGAAGCAGGCTTCCTGGTGAGCAGGGAGCCCGATGCGGGGCTCGATCCCAGGACTCTGGAATCATGACCCGAGCTGAAGGCAGCGGTTTAACCAACTGAGCCACCCAGGCACCCCTAAAGATTTTATTTATTTATTTGGCAGAGAGCACAAGCAGGCCGAGCAGGAGAGGGAGAAGCAGGCTCCCTGCCGAGCAGGGAGCCCAATGTGGGGCTTGATCCCAGGACCTTGGGATCATGACCTGAGCCGAAGGCAGACACCCAACCGACTCAGCCACCCAGGCGCCCCTTTGTTTTTTGTTTTTAGATTTTATTTATTTGAGAGAAAGAGAGAAAGGGAGAGAGCACCAGAAGGGAGAGGGAGAAGCAGACTCCCCCCTGAGGAGGGAGCCCAGCACGGGGCTCGATCCCAGGACCCTGAGATCATGACTTGAGCTGAAGGCAGATGCTTAACTGACTGAGCCACCCAGGCACCTCTGACACTTGTTAAATATGGTAGGGAAGACTTTATTCAAGACAACTATAGTCCCCCCTTGGCAGCATGTATACTAAAATTGGAACAATGGAAGATTAGTGTTGTTCCTGTGCAAGGCTGACATACAAATTGGTAGAGCATTCCGTATTTTTAAATAAGTCAGATAAAGACAAATACTGTATCATCTCACTTATATGTGTAATCTAAATGAACCAAACTCACATAAACAGAGAATACAATGGTGTTTGCCAGGGGCTGGGGCTGGGGAAAATGAGGAAATGTTGGTCAAAGTGTCCAAACTTTCAGCTGTCAGATGAGTAAGTTTTGGGTAATCTAATGTACAGCATGGTGACTCTAGCTAACAATGCTATTACAATTACTTAGTTGAAATTGCTAAAAGTAAACCTAAAATGTTCTCACCACACACAACAAAACGGTAGTCATGTGAGATGGTGCATGTGGTAACTAATCTTATTGTGGTAATCTTTCACAATATATATGTGTATCAAATCATCATGTTGTACACCTTAAACTTATACAATAAAGTTGGGATTATAACTCAATGAGGTTAAGATTGAAGAGTTAAAAAAATAACGATGCCACAAAGTGCTATAAAAGAAAATAAATCTATCAACCATACCTTAAAAAGAAAAAGACTATTGTAATAGGGGTCATGATTGATAGCCAAGGAGCAGGGTAAGGGGGTCTGTGAATGGAAAACTACTAGGAGAGACATCAAGGGAAGGGGGATTCCTGTTAAACTGACCTAACAGGATTCTTGCTAAAGGCAGCCAAGGACTCAGACATCAAAGACAGAGGATGAAAAACTTGATCAGATATCAAGGGTGGGGGGGCTCCCAATAAACTCACTTAGCAGGATTCTGGCTAAAACTGGGCCAGACACCAAAGTTGAGATCTGGTCTTAAAGGGGGCTCAGAGGAGCCTGACTAAAGTTGGGTCAAAGAGAGTCTTTATCAAAAGTTAGCCGCAATCTAGACATACATGGGGTTGGGCTTTTCAGGTAGGTGGGAAGCCCAGCAATGGGGTATTCAGGCAGGACTTACTAGATGGGTGGCCCTTCTGGAGACCCTTCTCCAGATGGATAGCAGAACCCCAGCTGGGATGCAAAAGAAGGCCCCCGATTCCAGAGAAGAGGGCTGGCTGGCAAGGAGAAGGGACTGTAGTCACAGGGCTAGAGTTCAAAGAAGGGCTTACATCTTGGGGAAGGACTTAGGTATTACAAATATGATAAAGACTGCAGCCTGATGATAAGGACTAAGACTTTCATGACTCACTGGCAGAGAGATGACAAGCTATGACTTTGGTTACTCCTGCTAATAGTAGCTTTCTTAACTGATTGCAACACAGGGAACTGGGTGGGGTGGGGGGGCAATGTGGGAGCCCTGACCACTGGAACTAGGCCACTAGAATCCAGGACATGGGGTGACATTTTTGAGCTTATTTGTGGAGCCTCTCTGACTGTTCAGATTACCTGAGTATTGGAACAGGTTTGAGGCCATGAGCAAAAAGCAGGACTTCAAGAGATACCTCAAGCATCAACCTTTTCTGTGAAAAGTTCCCTTACTCCTTGACACCCTCCTTGACTTTATTCTCTCAGGCAGAAGCCCCCCCCCCAAAAAACAACCCAAGCTCAAGCTATAATAGCAAGTTGCAGGGACAGGATTTAGACCCACGATGTCTGGCTTCAGAGTTTGGGCTCTTAATTATAATGATCTTAGTCATTATTCTCTGAAGATGAAAGATCCTGATTTCAAGTCACTCACCACCTCTCACACAGCCATAAGTGATGTCCAAGCAGATATAATCTTACCAGGAAAAGGAGGATGAGGACGATTTTCCAGATAACAGAGCAAGGACCCATGCCCCAAATGTTTTGCTTGTGGATCTAGAATATGAACCAATGACATTATTATCTGAAGAGTCATATCACAGACTGCCACTTTTCTTGTCCATGGGTCTAGAATAGATTGAGGGGGTAGGAGATTGCTGGGGGGTAGAAGAGGGAATCAGGATTGAGTTAAACCAGGGGCTATCGATGTGAGGACATTAGGGTAATCTGTGAGTACATGAAAGCAAAACAGAGGCCAAACACAGGTGGGAGGACATCCAAAGCCAAAGAGAGAAATCATGGAATCAATGGAATAAGGCAAGGACATCATAGGGGAGGAGCAAAAGTATAGCCAGGCACGTTGGAACTGGATTACTGAGCGAGAAACAATACCCGTGAGGTGGCAGATGGTTCATGAAACCAGGGCTGCAAACACTAGTCGTGGCTGGGTGTTGCTTGTACACAGAGCCTGGGGTGAGCTGTCAGGATGGGGTCCCTGGGCTATACAGTCCCTTTGTCAGTCCCCCCTTGCTGCATGGGATAAAGTAGGCTGCCTCTGGTTTTCAGGGTAGAAGGTTGTAACCTGTTGGCGTAGCTTGCTTGAGGGGAGGCATGGAATTCTTGGGCTCGCCTCCTCTCTGTGGTCCCTTCACACAGCTAAATGATAAGAACTGACCTCTGTCCACTTACATCAAGCATCACAATTGTCAAGAACTGCGATGCAGAGAACTATGGGATGGAAGCTAGGGTCTAACTGAGGTGGATATGGGGAAGAATAAGAGTATCACACAGAAGGTATTTGGAGACGGGGTGGGGAATGCGGAACGGGGACTGTGTCTACAGGGTGCGCAGTCTCAAACTCAGAACCAGTATCTGCCCTCCAGGAGTGGTGTGGTTTTGGTGGGAGAAGCCAATAATAACAGCAACAATAATACTGGTAATAGGCAACATTTAGAGAATGTTTGTTATGTGCCAGGCACCAAAGTAAGCATTTTATAAGGATTATTATCCTTCACAAGCCTGCAAAATAGATACCTTCCCAATTTTATAGATGGTTAAACTGAGGTTCAGGGAATTTAAATGACCCACCCAAGGTCACACAGCTGGTGAGTGTGGAGGAGCTGGGTCTTGGGTTTTGTCTGGCCACAAAGATGTTGTTTTTACCGTGATGATAATAAGTTACCCATGTTCTTAATGGAGAGCAATTAGATAAGAACTTGGGAGATACAAATACCAAACTGAGTCCAGAGACCAGAGAAGGACTGTTAGTGGAAAATGGGGCCAAGAATCAGAGATGGGAGCAGTTAAGCTGGGGAGGGTGCCCACTGTTGAGTGGAGAGGCCTTACAGCATCAGCTCACCTCGTCTGCCGTTGTAAGCTTGGCCAGCTTATCCACAGATGGGGGGAAACTCAGGGTGGGTGGTCTTTTGAAAAAAAGGGGGTGGGGTGGGAACTGGGGGGACTGGAAACTTGGCTGGAAGCTGGTGAGGGTAGAAATGGGCTCTGCAGCGTCCAGGAACAAGAGGCAGTAGTGACTCGAGCAGTGAGGTTGGTGGCCAAGGATGTGAGTGGAGAGCTAGAGAGGACACTGCCAAGGAAACCAGGAGCAACCACAGCTCTTCCCCAGCCCCACCCCTTTCTCTCAGGATGGAGAACTATCTCCCTGCAGATCCCAGTGTTTCCGAAACAGCAACCCATTCATGGATTGTGGAATCAATTTAGACGGTTGCGACTAGCATTTATTAAAAAATAAATAGAAAATAACAGTGCATTGTACATAATAAAGGTAAGTATTGTTTCAATTTTAGGGTGTGCGGACTGAGTTGCAATGCAAAATGTGTTTCTTACTAAGATACAAAATAAAAGCCACCTCTCTGAGGTTGCTTTCTTTGGAGATTTTTCTGTATCAGCCAACTCTTCCACTAAGTTAGTGAAGGCACTTGTCACTCCGTGCATTCCTGACTGTCGTATGCGAGGACTTGGTAAATCTTCAGCCACACTGTAGGATGGGCCACCTGTCTGGATTAGTGAGAAGCTTGAATTAAACTATACTACTTTAAAAGAACTTTAGGTTTATTATTTTCAAATAGAGTAAGTGGAAGCCAGCTAACCAACTGTTGCCTGGTACACAGGGCTAGGTTTTGCCTTGATGAATAAACAAGTGTAATTTGTAATTGACATTTCAAAGAAGGCTTAGAAACAGGCCAGCCTTTGTTTAAATCATAATTA